TAATCGACAGTATGAAGGTGAAAACATTTTCTTGACCTCTTTGAGAATAAAGCAGCATAGCAATCCAATACACATTAACAGCTTTTGTAATTTATGATTAATAATGATGAAATATTGTTCATATATGTCTGGTGTGAAACAGCCGAAGCAGCTGCGGAAACTGATCCAGCAAACATTCCAGCAGTTTGCGCTGCTGAAGGAAGAGCAGTGCATCATCAAGTTCTTTGAGACATTATCTGTCTTTTCCAGTTTTGATGAAGAGGTTTTTTCTTGTGAGCTGGTGGTAAGATCCCATCATGGTGTTTTTAAGTTACAGCCATGTTAAAGCAATAGTTGACCCAAAAATGAAAAGTTGCTGAAAATTTACCTTCAGACCATCAAAGATGTAGATGAGTTTGCTTCTTCAGATTTTAAGGAAATTAAGGATCACTTGCTCAGCAATGGATGCTCTGCAGTGAATGGGTGCCGTCAGAATGAGAGTCCAAACAGCTGATAAAAACATCACAATAGTCCACAAGTAATCCACTCCAGTCCATCAGTTATCATCTGGTGAAATGCAAAGCTGCATGTTTGCAAGAAACAAATCCATAATAGCTTTTTCAGGATCAGGAGAGAAATCTGCACAGATCAAGCACCATTTACAAGTCAAAACAGTCCAAAACAGTTTATATGTGGGTGGATTTTGATGTGAGAGACAACAGTGAATGGACTTTTTCCACTGCAGGAAGCATTGTTATGGATTATGGACAGATATTTTGGCTGGAAGAGATGATTTAAAGTAAGAATGCCTTAAGTATGTTTGCGCCAATGGCCTTGTGGACAGCGCGCCGACATATAGCACAGGCGTCCCGTGTTCGAATCCTGGCTCGAGGACCTTTCCCGATCCTGCCCCCCTCTCTCTGCCACTTCGCTTCCTGTCAGCTCTATACTGTCCTATAATAATAAAAAAAAAAACTTAATTTCTTAAACATGCAGGTTTTTGCTTTATAAGATGTTAACTGATGGACTGAGGGCGTGTGGATTATTGTGATGTTTTTAGCTGTTTTTGACGGCACCCATTCACATATTTTCAGCAAATTTGTAATTTTGGGTGAACTATTCCTTCAGTGATGTGTGTCGTTTAATCTCTGAAGTAGTGTGAGAACTAGTTGTGGTTGGACAGATAAATTCAGTGGCCCCAAAATGTCTTTAGACACTGTGGGCATGTATACAATCGTGTGAAAGTCACTGCATTAGATAAGAGTTTTAAAGCAACTGTCATTAGCAATTAAATCCGGCACAAACTTTTCCAGTGACTATGAAGTCCAAGTTCAGTACTTTTCATCTTCATTTTCAGTACTATATCTGTTTATTTTCCATCATACTGTATAAAACCCAACAAACATCTTTTATAAAGTGTTTTACTTGAAATTCCTTCCTGTGTTATCTTTCTGCAGCACAGATAGCATGTTGCTCTGCTATTTTGTTATCTAATGCGTGACATTGATATGAATGTGTGTACTACAGATGTTCATCAAGCAGCAGTTGTTGTGTAAAAGCTGCAGTTGTTGCTCAGTGTAACAGTATATTCTTCTGTAGCAAGGATGGAGCATCTCTGTGGATCTGGTCATCGGGCCCAAAGGTATTCGGCAGCGTACAGACAAAAGCTCTGTGGTAAGAAGATCCCCTCACATACGTCCATCCCACCGCTTGACCTATTCTCTAAAACGCAGCACTCAATAACCACTTCTATTTTGTCAGTTAACCACAATGGAAAAATTTTGCATCTGCCAATAGTCGTTGGTGAGAAATCAATAGTGTTATTTTAGTATCATTGGGATACTAATACTATTGAGATACATTATAGTTTTTATTAATATTTAGAATTAGTATCTATTCTTATCTATTCTGTTTTCATTTAAATTTAATTGTTAGTATTTTTTATTTTTAGTGTTTTTAATATGTCTATATAGTGTTTATTCATTTTTATTCCAGTTTTAGTGTTGGTTATTTTAGAACATTAAGCGACAGTAAACTAAGAATGTTGGAGTGTTTTACATGAAAATACATTTTCTTCAAGAAAATATCTTTCCACATCAACATTTCACATTTAATGTGTTATTGGCTGTTTCTTTGTAATTAATTGTGAAATTTACTAGCTATTTCTGAGTAAAAAACTTTTTCAACAACTATATTTGTTCAGTGTAGCTGAAACCAGTTATATTTGTATGTGTGTGTGTGTGCATATATATATATATATACTTAAATATAATAACCCTGTTATGTGCTCATGTATATTAACATGTTTTTTTTTTTTATATGTCTTCATTAGCCGGTCTGTCTAGCCACATTTGCACAAATTCGAAGTATTAAATGCACACCTCAGAATGACGGAAAGACGCTGCTACATATAGATATAGAAGGAGCTAAACAGGTAAATGGATCCACACGTCTTCTTGAAATTAATGCTTGATTACTATATAACATCAGTTAACCTTTTCTCATGAAGATTATAATGATGCATGTTAAAAGATTGGATCTTTCTGTTGTCATTTTCAGCCTTTGTCCATCAGCATAGCCTCTCTGGCCATCGCAGAGAACCTGATGTATTTAATTGATGGTTACTGTTGTTTGGAGCACGGAAATGAGACAACTTTAATAGTACACAAAGGTGTGTGGGTTTTATTATTTTGTATTACTAGGTCATGAAACTAACATAATCATGTATCTTAAATTGAGATCCACTAATCCAATTAATTATCCACTAATGAAACCAGTTCAAGTACTTCCTCTGCCTAAATGGTTTTTGACTTGCCTAATCAGTGCTTGACCATTACTAGTGTAGAAACCCAGTGTGCACTGTGATTGCCACCATACTAATAACAAACTACTGCTTATGTTTACCAGACAGAGAATCTAGGATCTCTCTCCCTCTTTTACCCAGCAGGTGAGCACTGATGTTTATATATATATGTATATATATACAATTTAAAATTCCAATTTTTGAATTTAATGTGTTAAGGTGTAATTTATTCCTGTGATCAAAGCTGAATTTTCAACAGAGCAAGTGATGCAATGCTACATTTCTCCAAATCTGATGAAGACACAAACTCTACATCTTGGATGGCCCGAGGGTGAGTACATTATTAGCTAATTATCATTTTTAGATGAACTATTCCTTCAACAATCACTCTTGCCTATGTCACAATAAGGGGTAAATCCGACTCATATTAGTACATTATGCAATATTGTTAATCAGACTTTATTATCATCCTGGTTTCTCTGTTTTTCTTCAGCTAGGAAATTACCTGTTGGAGAACAAGCACAAATTAACCACTGTCACACTGATCCTGTACAGTCTTCAGATCAGTAAAGCTCTTGCTTACCTAGAGGGCATTAACATGGTGCACAGGTACATCAATTCACCTTGTGACCAACAGTTTATGCAATTACTGTGAATAATCATTACCTGTTTGGTTTGAAATTTTAAGGATTTGGTCTGGTTTGGTTATATCTTTAAAAGTATGAAGAAGCAGACAGGCTGCTTATAAACATCTCTTCCTCTTGACTCTTCGCTTACTTTAACTTCGTCTCAGGTTCAGAAGAGTGCCAGACACTCTTATGGGTAAAAGTTTAGCTGAAGCAGAAGGTAAAAAATCAAGGTCATAGGTAGAGAACATTATATGGGGCATCCGCACAACCGCTCATATTGCATTGTACGTCTAGTGTTTCTTCATGGGGAATCTTGTTCCTGTAGAGAAACGTATGCTGTAAATTATAATCTGAATTATAAAGCATTTGACTCTAATTTTATTTGTTCACTAACAATGTGCAATAATGGACGTACATGATGACTGAAGAAATCTGTTGTCTTTCTGCAACGTCATGAGCATTTCCACTTCATCTTAGATTGTATGTTGTTTAATAGCATTTTAAATATTTTTGGATTAAAGTGGCTCATGCCTTTGTTTTGCAAATTTCGTAGCTAAACTTTTAGGCATACTAAATGCATGTAATTTTTTTCACACTTGAAATGACACACACCATTAAATGTTCTGTTAATGAATGATATTTACCTTGAGGTTTTATCTTTTTTTTTGAAAGTCGTCTCTTGTGCTCAGCAAGACTGCATTTTATATGATAAAAAAATACAGTAAAAACTAAAAATTGTTAAATGTTATTACATTTCAAAATAAATGTTTTCTATGTGAATATATTGTAAAATATAATTTATTCCTGTGATCAAAGCTGAATTTTCAACATCATTACTCCAGTCTTCAGTGTCACATGATCCTTCAGAAATCATTCTAATATGCTGATTTAATGAAAAAAATAAAAAGTATTCTGTACTTACGTAATTTTAATATGTTAAAATTATATATAAAAGTTATAATTTTTGTATTTTATTTTTTTATATAATTGTATATATCATTTTTAATAAATATAATATATGATTATAACTTATACACACACATATATACATATATGATAATTAAGACGGTTCTGTCTTATTGACCCTGTCTGATCTTATATTGCAAAACAGTATGGAAAACACCAGATCTGACAGGGAAAGCAAAAGTATGTAAAGCAAAATATATATTGCAAAAATACTGCCTATAATATGCAAATTTTTTATAAAAGATAGGTTAATCAATATAATGTTATTCCACTGGGTTTTTCCCCCCACAGATTCAGATATTTATGCAGAGATACCAGAAGATACACCAGTTCCAAGTAAGAGCCAAATAATATTTTAAGAGACAGATTAATTGTCGTTTATCAATTTATTTGACATTTTGATCTCAAACACTTGTTTTCCAGCATGTAAATTCAGCATCTTACGAAACGACGTTGTCCTCGGCCGGATTCTGGGTGAAGGTTTCTTTGGTGAGGTGCATGATGGGATCTATAAAAGCAAGGTTAGTGCATCAGTCACACACCTACAGACCCAAATATTCAGCGAAACAGATCACAAGGATTTAGTAGAAATCACTAGAAACTTATTCAAGCTCAGCTTTCAAAACACCAGATCTGACAGGGAAAGCAAAAGTATGTAAAGCAAAATATATATTGCAAAAATACTGCCTATAATATGCACATTTTTTATAAAAGATAGGTTAATCAATATAATGTTATTCCACTGGGTTTTTTCCCCCACAGATTCAGATATTTATGCAGAGATACCAGAAGATACACCAGTTCCAAGTAAGAGCCAAATAATATTTTAAGAGACAGATTAATTGTCGTTTATCAATTTATTTGACATTTTGATCTCAAACACTTGTTTTCCAGCATGTAAATTCAGCATCTTACGAAACGACGTTGTCCTCGGCCGGATTCTGGGTGAAGGTTTCTTTGGTGAGGTGCATGATGGGATCTATAAAAGCAAGGTTAGTGCATCAGTCACACACCTACAGACCCAAATATTCAGCGAAACAGATCACAAGGATTTAGTAGAAATCACTAGAAACTTATTCAAGCTCAGCTTTCAGGACAGAAACCTCATGAATCTTGTGTCTTCCTCCAGACAAAATGTTATTACATTTCAAAATAAATGTTTTCTATGTGAATATATTGTAAAATATAATTTATTCCTGTGATGCAAATCTGAATTTTCAGCAGCATTACTCCAGGCTTCAGTGTCACATGATCCTTCAGAAATCATTCTAATATGCTGATTTGCTGCTTGAGAAATATTTCTTATTGTCAATGCTGAAAACAGTTGTGCTGCCAAAAAAATTTTTTTCAGGATTTCTTTGATAGAAAGTTAGGACATCATTTATTTGAAAAAGAAATCTTTTATCACATTATAAACATCTTTGCTGAATAAAATTATTAATTTAATAAAATAAATAATCTTATTGACCCCAAAATATACACACACATGCTGTATATTAAATTTAGGACACACAATTATAAATTGCCCTCCTACAACAGTTAAACTGCATTTGCTTGTTGGTGTCCTCACATCTCCTTTTTGATAATCATCTGTATCTCATGCCTGTGGTTGTACAGAATCTATTTTAGTGGTGCATAATCAAGTTACTCAATTCAATGTTTTTCCATCAGGGACATTGCTGTGAGAAACGTGCTGGTTGCCAAACCAGACTGTGTGAAGCTAGGAGACTTCGGCTTGTCCCGATACATAGAAGAGGAGGAGTATTACAAAGGCAAGACTAAGGCTGACTAGTCTGTTTAACCTTATCATGCAGTTTGAGTCTAATATTTCACTCGCATTTCTTATGCCTGATGCTGTCAAATGACACTGTTTGTTTTCTCTCTGAAGCCTCCGTGAGTCGATTACCTATTAAATGGATGGCGCCGGAGTCCATCAACTTCAGACGCTTTACCTCGGCGAGTGATGTCTGGATGTTTGGTTAGTGACTTTGAAGCATGACGTGAGATTAATGCGTTTAAACATGCATGACGTGCTATGTCACTATGCTGTCTTTTCAAAGCTGAATCACTGTTTTGACCACATTAGGCAACAGATCAATTCAATCGTGAGGATTTTTCAAGCCGTCATCATGATGGGAATTCCTATCTCCTGTTGTCTGTCTTGTTGATTCAGTGCCGATTCCTGTGAAAACACCAGATCTGACAGGGAAAGCAAAAGTATGTAAAGCAAAATATATATTGCATATATTTAATATAACCATTTTATAAAAGATAGATTATTCGATATATAATGTTTTTTTTCATTATATGAATTTTTCACAGGTTCAGATATTTATGCAGAGATACCAGAAGATACACCAGTTCCAAGTAAGAGCCAAATAATATTTTAAGAGACAGATTAATTGTCGTTTATCAATTTATTTGACATTTTGATCTCAAACACTTGTTTTCCAGCATGTAAATTCAGCATCTTACGAAACGACGTTGTCCTCGGCCGGATTCTGGGTGAAGGTTTCTTTGGTGAGGTGCATGATGGGATCTATAAAAGCAAGGTTAGTGCATCAGTCACACACCTACAGACCCAAATATTCAGCGAAACAGATCACAAGGATTTAGTAGAAATCACTAGAAACTTATTCAAGCTCAGCTTTCAGGACAGAAACCTCATGAATCTTGTGTCTTCCTCCAGACAGGAGAGCGAGTGAATGTGGCTGTAAAGACATGCAAGGACTGCTCAGCTGATGTGAAGGAGAAGTTCATGAGTGAAGCTTGTAAGATGATTCATCTTCCACCTGTAGAATCCAATACATGCCTGAATAGAATGATCAAAATCGTTGTTTTCATGCAGTGATCATGAAGAAACTGGACCATCTGCACATTGTGAGACTTGTAGGAATTATCGAGGAAGATCCCGTGTGGATTGTCATGGAGCTTTACCAGTATGGAGAGGTGAGATTCATTCATTTGAATGATTTCAAGCTTGTCTAGGGTTGTTCATATCCAAGAAAATTGGTAGCAAGGAAAATCAGACAAAACTACTGAAGAATTAAGAATAGTTTTTTTTTTTTTT